AGCATTCGCTGCGGCACCTCAGGCAGCACCCCCTTCGGTCGCCTCCCCTCCCTCAAACTTCTCACACCCCCTTTCCTTATTCATCGTTGCAACTCCAAGTCTGACTCCAATGGAAAACACCCATTTACAGCAAGTCTTTTTTAGTCATATTTTGACAATTATCACAGGTCTTTGTTCGGGGATATTACTTTAGTTTCCGCTTCCTCGCTCAATTTTCAATTTTAAAGTTACGTTTCACTTCTCAGTCGCTGAACTAACTTTTTTCGACGTTTTGGGGATGAACGATGTCTTCCTTTCGCGTACTTTTGGGTGCAAATGTAGTAAATGAGAAGAAATGAATAAGTGGCGATAGTATTGCTGAACTTTTAGAAGAAAAATGATCCGGTCACAGCTGCCCCCTCTCTATTTTGTTTATAGCTTCTCCGTTTTTATATTCTCATTATTGACAGCGATGAGTGTTTTTCAACGCTGAGTCGTTTGTATCGTACATTACATCCAAACGACTTACCACTGAAAAAAATGTGTTGGTTAGTCCTGGTTTTCCATTGCTCACCCGATGAGTCCATTGTGCTTTCCGAGCACCTTCCTCTTTTTCTGGGATCGCTCGAGCCTCGAGTTTGTGATGAAAGCCTCGTTTAACTGAATCTTCCATGACTCTTTTCATCTATATACTTCACCATGAATGTTGTTCCATTTCTCTGAAGAAAAAGTGAAAACCACCTGCATACCAATCATTTCACTCATTCATGCAATAGGGTGTGAGTATACCCAAGCCCCACGACTACAATTTCCTTCGATTTTTGCTTTTTGCTCTTCATAACCGTTGAGAGGTGATTTGGGTCCAAATCGCGTGGCTACTCATCATAAGACCACATATTACAGAGGCCATCGAGCTACTAAATAGCCTCCAGGGATTCGCACACTTCCGTACTGCTCCATGCTGGCCAAAGTTTCATTTCGGTTTCTAGCCTTGAGAGATCATTTGCGATCAGGATGGAGTTGTTGGTTTTCGCCAGGACAGGTTCCTTGTAAAACCGAAGCTGTCGCTTACAAAATGCGGAGTGGTTATTTCATTTCCTCGTATGGTCTTCTAGGTTTCAAAATTTTTTAAGTGTCCCTCAAAGTAGTCCACAAAATGACTGCCCTCGGTCTCCAGGGTTCCCACTTCTTACATAGTTGGGAAGTGGCAATTAAATTCACCTTACCTTTAAACTGCTAATCAGTTGGCTAATTGCAGCCTGCTACTTTACCACGCATGTAGGACAGCAAATAACCATCCACTTAGAACCATCACCTCTCCGCTTGCACGGTGTTAGAACTTTCTCAGTCTCTAGTCATAGCTGTTGAAAAAACAAAAGGGTGGGCAGAACTTAGTAAGGGCATGTCATCAAGTATGCATGTTTTCGTCGTCATCGGATGAGTTTGTTGGGTTTTCTCATTCGCCCCTACTTGGACACTCCTAGTAGGTAAGCTGTTGTTATCGCTCTTCAAGAAGTAGTTGATTCTCTGGATTTTGAGCGAATTTTTCTAGGATTTTGTGACGTCGCAAAACTTCCGCTTTTGGATTCTCCGTTACAGTCTAGCTTCGAGATTGAAACGTTGCAAGTGTCGACTTTCGTGCTGCTCCTCTCCCACCTGAATTAGTTCATCGCCTAATTCTCAACTTGGAAACTTGAGAGGATTTGCTCTGTTAGGTGACCTTCAAGGATTAGGTTTGCAACCCAGATTTTCCTGACGATCCGATTGCGATGAAGGAGTTTGCGATTCCTTGTCCGGGACTTTTTCGAGAGCTGCACAGAGAGCATATCCTCTGGGGGTGAGCTCTGAGATTTCAAAAAATTCCAGCTCATCACATCCAGATGATCCCACATCATGTATACTGAGTCTTGCTTCACATTGTTATCTTGGAACAGCTGCGGAGTGCGTATTCATCAGGGAATGAAAGGGAAGGATTATGGTCGAGGCTCCCTACATCTTCACACAAATCATCACGAAAACAACATTTTTGTTGACGTCAGTAAATTTTGAAAATTATTCCCACGGCTGAAGTGCCCGATTTGCTTGAGCAGAGCCCATTCCGATTACGGTAGCATACTGAGGGTCATTCTGGGGCACCTTTTGATCATTTCCAAGCTGTTCAAAGACGAATACCTGCATATGCACATATGTATTTATGTCTTTCTTGCACCGTTGCAGTTTGCACGACACAAAATAGCTCCCGTCAAAGCAGCTAGCTTTACTCATGAGGATAACATAATTAACTCGATTATTACCTAACCTGTTTACCCGTTCATGTATGATGCATTAGTTTTTCATGAAATTGGGCCTACTCGACATAGCTTGGAGTTTCATGTTGATGGCTAATTGAAGACATCTGAGCTGTGTTCGAGTTCGTGCAGAACATCAGCCATGAGCCCTTCATATTTCAAGTGCTTTCTCACTTTCAAGTCAGCTCCTCAAACACCCGCTGGAGCTGCCCCACCTACTATTTCCACCCTACAACAGATGAAGGCATCCTTTTGATACTTCAGTATCAGCTCGAGCTGTGTAGCGGCCTTAACGGTACAGTAAGAAGCTGGCGCCAATTTCCGGTGCCCATTTTTGTGGGTAGTAGAAGCTGCCACTCATTCAAAACTCCTATAGGCTGTTCGTTTTGATAAATGAACAGGTTCTCCGCCATAGTCTCTCACCCTGCTCTCAAGCAATCCCCGAGATCTGTGGACGCATCTTTCCTGTCTCATGAAAAATGAGCCAGCTTTTCCTCCAAAAAGTTCCTCGTGCACAGACCAAACTTTCTTCTCACCTCCTGAGAAAATTCTTCCCAATTGGCTTTGCAGACATAGGGAAATTTCTCACACTTAGACATGTTCTACTCAGAATGCGCCCTCATTTTCACACAATGCAACAAATCTTTCCAATCCTTATGGGAGAGTTTCGAGCTGTTCTGCTGGGCCCTGTTCGTATCTCCTTATGACTTCTGTCACCAAAAACTTCTCAAGATCTATTTATTATTGTATGGGCTTCTTCTGAACAAACATTACCTCTCAAGGCCTTCAGGCAACCCATCTGATGTTTTTGCTGAGACCTGAGTGTATCCCACAGGCAGCTTTCAAATTTTGGATAAACCAGTCTGATTAGCTAAAAAAAACTTTTCTAACCAGGAAAGTGAATGAAGAGGACGCACGGAATCCAGAAAGAAGCTTCCGAACCTGTCATTCCTTTTCTTTTCTCGCATTTATCCCAATCAAATGCCCGGTTTACAATGAAAATTTCTTCTAAAATATCCCGTTAGGATAAATCTGTGGACCCCTCGTAGAGCATATGTGGCGCTATCAGGTCGAAAAACTTACCAGATAGAGCGTTATAAAGGGTAAAGATTGTCCCATGTGTATGCATGGACGAATTTCAACGGCATTGTAGAGACTGCACCATACACAAGGAAATCCATGTAGGAACTTCAAGCAACCTGCCATGATCCATTACGACAGTGAAAGGAAATTCTAGACATTTTTGACTTGATGTAGTCAGCACTTGGCGCAATTGCAACAACTGAAATCTCGTCCAAATACCTCTTCTGGGTCATTTCCTTCATGATTATTTCGTACAACCTCTATTTTCACTACTTTTAGAGAGCTTATTCTCCTCGGAATTTCCTCGCATCCTTCACCATCAATGCACTATTCCCAATCAGTACTTGTGCTTTTCGATTTCGAAAGGATACTTCAAAATTATTATGAGCTGTGCTTTTCAAAGGTTCTTTCTCCACAAGTCTTCTGCTATCGTTCAGTTTCTCGTTCAGTGAAGCTTCAAAGGTTGATTCCCGCGCACAACTAACCTCAGCAAAGACCTATGTACGTAATTATGAATAGTTCTGAATACCTCTTGATTGACAGGATCAAGTCTTCCTGTACAAGTAAATTGTTGAGGTTCATAATGTGAAATTATCAGCAACTTCGGGCAACCCCGAATTACTGCTAGATTCACGAGCTTGTTCCTTGGATCGGTACCTGTTGACTTTTCTTGTACGCCTGTATTCATGGTCATGCTCCTATCGAGTAATGCTCAACGACGAACGATGGGAAAGAAAAAATAGTAATTGTCCCGTAATAACAGTGACTTATTCATATATTGCCAATTCCACCCACCCCTTCTCTTCTTCTCATCCCAAATCTCAATTTACCCCTCCGTCGTTTGTCATGGGATAGAAGGAAGCTGAAAAAAGCAAGTGGAAATGAGATGGTGATGTTGATCCTCTTTTTGGGAAAGGGGTGGGGAACAAAGTTGGCATTGGGACTCTGTATTAGGGGGAATGAAGGAGGTGAGATGTCCGAATTAGTAGTATCACTGCAATATCATCTGATATCAATAGGTTGTTTCTACAGTTGCAATCGACTGTATGGGAAGCCGTGAATCAGCCTTTTTTTGGCACTGTACGTTTCTGTAGCTTGCAGCCTACCTGTTCCAGCCATCTACTGCTATCGAGATCCTCTCGTCAGCATTGTTGTTTTCCTTGGTGTTTTCTTTCTCTCAGGCAATAGTGCCCTACTATCTATTCGCAAAGTAAAGCGAAAATATCACACTAATGTATCGTGTTGTTTTTTCATACATCAGATCGTAGGCTATTTTCATTGTGGTCCTTCATTCTTAGAAGGAAGCCCAACTTGTGTCAGGAAACCTTCGGTGCTTGCTCTTGTATTATAGTGATGCCTGAAGAGGGAGTGGGCTAACACCCACTTCGTCCGACTTCATTTCGAGATCGCAGAATGCAGAGGCACAAGACTTGGGAAGTCGTACGTCTGAACCATGCATCAAAATGTGGGCATCAATAGCCCCTTTGTTGTCCTTGCCTTGTTCTTACATTCTCTTCTACGTACTTTTTTCAGCCAACGAGTGGTTTACGATTCTTTTTTTTGTGATATACGGCTTCGTGTTCGGTTTTTATTCCGTGAGTTTTTGCAAAGAAATCGCTTGGTTGCGTTCAGACTCCGCTGCTTTTCAGAATGGATTGGCTGGAGCGAGTCTCCGAAGAATATGGGCGAGTTGTCCATCCACCACTGGTGCTGATCCTGTGTATTTCGGGATCACTCGGACATCTGGTCTCCATCGCCACTCTATCATCAATGATGAACCCTACGAACGCTTTCCTCATCAGTATGTCATGGTATGTTGCAATATAGCTTCTTTATGATATCATCGCTAGTATTAGATGAATAGTCACTTGTTTTCCATTGAATATGGTGGTAAGTAGAAATCCGAAAAACTGTTCCCTCATCGCAGCTCCTCTTAAACTGAGCTCACATAATCCACTTTGTTGCACCTCTCTGACTGCACTTTAACACCGGAGCAATGCTTCTTGCCTGTCGATGGTCTTAGATGGTCTTAATAGTCAGTGTAGTTGACAAGTGATAATCAGGGCAGCAGCGATAAAGTGGTCGTTTTTCTTAATTCTTCATAAATCATAGATAATTACCGGTCATCAGAAATTCTGTACGGTAGTAATTTAGTGTAATGGCTCTCAATCATCAAATTTTCCTTCGAACTTGAGGCAATGAAACCGATTACAGGAAAATATCACTCAGTTCACTCAACAGGAACAGCGCAACGGTGCCCAATAATTACGTACTTTTAAAAAATAAAATTTACATGTAGTGCTAAGTATTACTGCAACTGATATCAGTAGGTTGTTTCTACAGTTGCGACCGACTATATAGGGAACAAGAAATAGAAGATCAGGTGGGCCGGACACGTTATGCGATATAGTGATGACCGTTGGACCAGGGCGGTTACTGACTGGATCCCTCGGGACATCAAACGAACTCCAGGAAGGCCGCCAACGAGATGGTCAGACTTCTCCACGAAAGCTCTGCTCGAGGAAGTCGATGACCAACGAGACGACAGGTGATACAGGTGATACAGGTGATACATGTGGTGCATAGGTTTAAAATAAAACGGGAGAAGGGAATGATGTATGGAGTGAGGATAGGATGGAATTTGTCATAATGGGGGATGTTTTGCACCAGCCCAGCTTCTGCTTTATGACCGTGAAGGAATCTGCTCGTGTAAAGGCACAGTTCGCCATGAAAGTAGTTTCTGATTTTCTGATTCCTTTTTTGAAATCTAGGAACTTCATGTTACTACAGTGGGAGTCGACTATCATGCTTGTCTGCTGGTAAAGATGGGAGTTCATCTCGGCATTGGACTTTCTTTGATAGGAATCATTTCAATTTCAATCTTAATTTTGAATGGACACTTCTATACGTTCGTGTTTGCATTCTTACTGTTTTTCGCCAGTTCCATTTTTATGATGGAGACTTTTGTCCCCTAATTTAGGCACACCTTTGAGTCTATGAAATAAATAAATAAAATTAGAAAAAAAAANAAAAAAAAACCTAAGAATTTAGTGAACAGTCCTTTCAAAGTTTCCCCTTTGCTAGTCTGACTCGACCGTGCGATAGTCAATTAGGCAGAACTGTACTGTTGAATAATAATAAAAACGTAGTAAACTTTATGATACTTTCTCTTCATTATTTACTATTTTTGACCACTTTCCACCACTCCAATGTTTCCAACCGCCCTAGCAAACATCATTTCACGAGGATCTCTTGGTTCTTCCCCACTTTCCAAGTTTTTGTCCCTTGAGAAGCGACACATGGCGTTGTCTCGAAAAAACACGATCCAAATAAGACTCAACGAGGACTCAGAATCTGATCGCTCGGGATTCCCAACGCCGTTCTGTTCTCAGTGTTCCCAAGGCCCACTGAGAACAAAGGTTCACAATGAAGTGGCGCGTTGAAGGTTCCTCTAGAGGGTGTAGGAGGAGAACTATATCCCCTAATACGAAGTGAAGCACGATCGTAGTAATTGTAATCAGCATATTAACCCGCGCGCAATTGAAATCCTGTCCAAACATCAATCTCGTACAGCTCTGAAATTTAATACTTCGACGAGGGCGTTGTACTTTGGTTTCTCTGCCTGAGATCTCATTTTCTTCGGAATTGACGCATTAGTTACCTTCAGAAATCCTCCCTTTTTCTGACCCACGGATGATTACGTAAATCTGACACAAACTGTGCCTTTAAAAGGGGAAGCATGCAATGGTGTAGACATTCCTTTTCAGGGGCCAGAGTTCAGAGAGGAAGGAGAGGGGATCTCTTGTTTTTTACGTACTTCATCAGTCTTTATGACAACTATCATCATTCATGCCACAACCCGTCGATATCCCTCATTCATGAGCTTCATTCCTTTGATTTCAAACGTTCGAGTATCTGATCGTAGGAAGATGCCAGTTTCTGGTCCTATTCACAAACATATACACACTTCAAACACTCCAACGTATGTGGTTAGTGGAATAGCTTGCTTTTGAGGTTGGCTAAGTTTCATGAAACACGCGAAATTCTGCATCAAGCATGGGAAACATCGGGAACACTCTTGTCTTGGACAAGGGGGATCACACGCCCTGAAACCAGTTATACTGCGTTAAGCTATCCCAAGTCACTAAAACTCTGAGTTAAGTTCAATAATTGTCCAAAGACTTGGCGAACCATCACCGAACCACGAATAACTTATGGATTCGAAATGATTATAAGAAATCACTTGTTCCAGTAACATCGTGGACCGGGCACTGGTCCCTCGTCTGCATTATTCAGTTTGTGGTATCGAACTGAGTTGCCAAACGGCTGAACAGGTCGAGCAACGAACATCCTTAAAGATGACGGAATCTTCCAAAATCGAAGGCATATCCTATTAGTACATTCCATCTACGTTATGAACCCGCCGTAATTATCAATTCAGTGTCCTTTGTGGCTGTATGGGATTCTGTACGGATAACATTGACAAAAAGCTTCTCTACTAAGCTGCATAAGAAACAGCGCTAACGAAGATTAGACATTGGCGCGGACTGAAAAAGGGGACATGCATTTTGACACGGTAGCTGGGCAAACATGTCCTTCTTGACGCCCTCAAAGCTGAATTCGTTATGAGCTCGAATCTGGAATGATTTCTGGGTAGGCGAACCAGTTCTTAAGGTTTGACATCAGCATATAGCATAACATAAGAAACATCCATCATGCATTCCTACTGTATATGCTCATCATAAGAAGAAAGCTTTACTTCAAGATGTACGTCTTCGCTCTTACGTGGGGAATGTGAGTGAACTCAATTCTCGTGAATACCCGCCTCCTACCACTTTTGTCGACTGTCTTGAGAATACTAGGGACTTAATCATTACGGAGTTACATATAATTTTGAGCATCAGAACGGTCCTCCTATAAGTTAGCCTCCATGGAAGTCCATTCAGAATTGTTCTCTTCGAAGGCACCCCTTGTTCATATAAAAACTACTATCGGAAAAGATGTTTGCTCGCTAAGCCCGGTGCATATTTATGCCTTCATCTATGACACCATTAAGATCTAGGGGACTGATAGAAGGATATGGTAGTATCTCGTTCTTTATTCAATGGGCGAAAGCTGTTTCTCGCTGAAGTAAGGGTACGAAGAAAAGCTAAGTTCATCGTGCAGCTCAGTGATTCAAGAATTGTTATGAACTCCAATTGGGAAGCAGGTTCTTTTTTCACGAAGCCTTTTTGAGGAGACTCTTCTACGGGTATTCGCAAGGAATTCTGCTCTATAAACCATAGACCAGAGGGAAGCGGTGTCAGTTCTCATGTTACAGATTACAAGAAATTCTCAGCAATACGACACCACCCCGCGTAATAGGGGCATGTTTTTATGATGGTATCATATTGCCAGAAAGCGAATTGGCCCTCCATCCAATGGTCTTCGACCCAACCCTTTCCCTATTAACCTCCTTCGAATGTAAACAAACGTTGGTTCGATTTTTGGCCAATGACGCTTCAAGTTAATTGGGCTGAAGATGACCACTTGGGGTTCCAATTCTGTTGCGGATCTGGTTATGCTTAGGTAGATGGGGTATTTTGTAGCCACAGGAGGGAACTCTATAGTTGCATCTGACAGTCAATCTACTTCAAATTCTCGGACAAGATAGAGCTGCTTCAAAATTAGTTGCTTTGCTCAATGAATGCTCAGCCATAGTTCACGATAACTTCTGGACGCGGTTCTTACAATGACACCCTAGCTTACCCATCACCCACCACGGTGTCCTTGCCCAAGGCCTCTTTTCGACGTGTGGGTATGTGACGGGTGATACTTTGCCTATTGAAATGGGGTTATGCCGTGCCGAACTATTGTAAGAGCCGAGTGCCGTACTGGATTTTCGTTTCTGTACTTCTATGTACCCTTTTCAAGGAGTGCTGGTGGAGTAATGCATCGGTGGCGAAGAAAGCCAGAAAACCGAGCTCGAGAATTATAAAGTTTACTGAAAGTATTGAACAAAGGATTCGTACCATTTTAACAAGACGGTAATGACATCAAGGATGGTATTCAGACGAGATTTTCGTTGCTGCAAAGAGCAGACTCTATCGAGATAAAAATGTCCTGAACTGCCTTACACCGTCATCGTGGGTCACGACTAGTTTTTGCATTCCCTCATGGGTGTCCTTGAGATGCCGCAGGGGCCGCACTTTCATTCTAAGTGTATAATCCGGGAACCATTCTGGGTGCCTTCAATGTGAGTGATAGCACAGCATGGGAACCTAAATATTTCTTTGCCAGCAAACTCCTATCATGCCCATCATGAGATTTTGATTCACGTAACATGTATGTGGTCTATTCAATTACCTGCGACGACCAACCGAAGAACTAGTCAGTACTTTTGCATTCCTAAACGATATGGTATCAAGAAAAANAAAAATCACCTGGATAGAATGCTTGGTGGACCTGGGTGGCATCGATATGGAGTTGATGCCATATTCAGTGTGCACTATTTCTACACAGAATCGGCAAGCGACAAAGGCAGTGGCCTTCACCGCATCCTCCTATTGTGAAACCAAATCTTTCCCTCCACCATGTGCAGATACACATATCCGAACGAGGTGCCATGTTCGCCAATCGGGTCGAAGTACCCACACGCGGTGAAGGGGACGTTGCTCGCGTTTGCACACGACCGAATGTGTGGGCGTGACATGCAGTTCGGGTAGAAGAACTCATCTCGTACTTTGTGGCCGACTTGAATACAGTCTTCTGTGCAGTTGCTCTCGTCCCCAGAATCGGCATACCCATCCTGGAAAGGAGAGCAATTGATAATCATTTTTTCCTTAATAAACCAAACTTGCCAGATGTGATGTGTGTGCATCATTCGGTACCTTTTCAAAGATAGTTTTGTTTTTGTTCTTTCCTTCACCATCCTCAAATCCCTAAAAGCAGCTGCAATTTCCGGGATTGATGAATGGGGCGAAATGTGCACGGGTGATTAATGGTTTGTCAATCACGTGCATAAATCACATATTACTGTTCAGCAGATGAAAGATGAACCAGTGAAGAACATTGCATTGGAAAACGGAAACATAGCAAATTTTCCTTCCAGAGATGATCTATGAGAAGCTTTGTTCTGGGAATTGATGAGTGTTTGCTGAGGCCGTGTAGTTTGATCACCTTTAAAAATTAAGAGAAGGAAAATCGCGCTGTTTCAATCAAGTTGGTCAGGAAATTCTTGCAGTCTTGACTGTGGTCCATAAACGTTCACCGGTTCCATCGTTATTTTTTGGGACTTTTACGAAATTCCCGTCAAAACAACGGATTTACTCAAAAATCAAAAATTTTCAAAGAATTTCAACGTGTGACTCCTCTTAAACTGTAGTATGCCTGTTTTGCTAACGTCATTGAGGACTATTTTCCCAAGAACTAAATACTGAAGAGGCTTCTGGAAAGTTGGCGTTTTAGCGCCAATTTAGATTCCTTGAAGCGCTTACGGTAACGAGAATCGAGTGGTACTGTAGTAATCCTGAGGAAAAAAGTGACTCCATCAACTGTTTCTGTAGCTGGAACATTAAGAAAGCATTATATGCTTGGAAGATGTAAAATCTGTCACAAATGAAGTAAGGTACTAGATTAATGAATATGTATATAATAGAAGTATCTCGGAGACTCAGATCAACTGAAATTGCCGTACCCTTTTGATGTTGAGTGACGGAAGTAATGGCGCAGTCTAGTGCATGTGTGGCGGTAAAACTAAATTGATCCACTTTGTTTGAATGCTCTTTGAAATAGTTAAATTGGTATTTGTACGAGATTACGTAATTGGACGAGATTCCAGTCAAAACAGAGGTGCTACAGTACCCTGCTGCCGAATATTGTATAATATTTCACTATCACCGAGGGTCAGAGCCAGGGGTCATCAGCTGTTTGAATTTCCTACAGGTATATTCCATGGTGAATAGTGCAGCCTCCACGATGGCTATAACAAGTCCACTTTAGGGCGAGTACGTCTACAAAGCAGAGTAGAACCAGAACCCTAATTACGCCCTATTCAGGTTGTTTTTCGGTGCCACAAAGTCACATGCGGAGGCCGCAGAGTCATCCTTCTAGAGAGCCATAAAAACCATTTCGATAGTGAAATGGACCCCTTAATATAAGGCGCAACAAGATTCAGCAAAAACAAATAGAGCATGGCTAGTTTCACAGCGAAAGTGAAGAATGTGCAACCAAAGTTGTAGTTCCACCGAGTGGCCCTAGCAGCACAAGATGGGTATTTGCAAATTCATGGTTTGTTCAAGTACTTTCCATTTGCTTCGTACTTTTGAAATGCATGGGTTAAAAGGGTAACATCACGTTTAGCGCTTGAATTCGTTTGCTTTCTGCAAAAGTACAATTGTGGACTTGTAAGTGTTCCGTTCCGCTACCCCCACTGATGACTACTGTAAAGAAGGCAGTGGGTCGTTGTCATTTTTGACATGGAATACATGAGGAAGGATGAAGGGGCGAGAGCAATCGAGTCAGGACCCCTTATTAAATCTCCCTGTCCTGGAACGATGGCAACGAGGAATATTTCCTGAGTGTTTCCTATTGCGTTCTGAGAAACCGCCTTAAGTATCGTGTTCTACTTATCATCGTTATAAGGAAGGTCCCACAGAAAGTGTGGCTTCCATAAACATGGATTCTTCGAAGTTTTGGTGCTAAATAATCCGTCTGAAGGATGCGCCCCGCGTTCAACTTTCATTCAGAGCCGAGGTGGCGTATTGAATGCGGATGTGGCCTATAGAATGGCTTGCGGTGGCAGTCATTGTAGAAGTCTGTATTTTTTACCCTCCCAGAATAGTCTAGTGAACCGATCCTGGAAGACTTTAGCGGCTTAGGAAGATAGGACCGATCCGGGATTCGAACACATGCGTCTGTGAATACTTTTGGATGGATTTTGTAACGAATATAAAAAATTGTTCGGTCGTGATATAATCTCTAATTCATTAACTGTTGAATATGCGTAAGTGATGTCGTGCCTCAACCTGATTAAGATGTTGAGGCACGAGAAGGGAAACAAAAATTTATGTCTGCATTCACGAAAAAGGAGACGCTGTCGATGATAGAGGATGTGGTTTCTTCTCCCCGAAAACTGCCACACCTGATCGTGCGCAATCACGCGCTTTTTAGAATTTAAATCCTCAATGGAAGGATACGGTAGTTGCCGCTCAGGGAGAATTTCCGCCACCCGATGATAGAGCAGTTTGAGAGCTCCTCTAGCGAATATCCATTATACAATCGAGTGAAGTAGCAGAAATAGAAACGGAAGCCATTTAGTCTCACCCTTGATGTGCTTACTTTGTCACCTTTGGCAAACAACCAGTCCACCTAAATTCGCTTTTACCCTGAATTGCTCCCTGTATAGAGCACAACTGGCTATGTTTTTTCGATCTTGGGCCATTTTTCAATCTCCTTTGAAACACATCCTGAGCACTTCGTTTACAGATGTCAGCAGCCAGGGCTACAAAAAATCTCTACTGGGACTGCTCTTAAGGCGAAAGGAACCGAAAAAATGTATGTATGAGGTGAGAAAGGAAAAGAGGTAAAAAACTGAAAAACATCAACTATAGCCTGCCATCCTATTACTATCAGGCTCAGGGACCTCATTTACTACGGATCATCAGGCGTAACTTCCCCTGCATATACATTTTACATGGCAAACAAAGATTTCCAAGAGCAGTATGGCATACCTCAAGCCTTTTCCAAACGGGTACTCATAAAGAACCAAAATGACGGGCAATCGTGTTCGATTCACTTCATACTTAATGCTGACCATAAATCATTGTCATTCCCCTTTGAAAATGCCAACGACTACGTTGTTGACCGTTGGGCTTCGGGGATGCGAGTTATGCGAAGCCAGAAAATGCAATGAAATCGCAAGGACATGGGTCATAGGCTATGTAGAGAGACTTACTGAACGCAGTCTTCTATGCAGACAATACTGTACCATGTTTGTTCCAGTGATGGTGAGTGACTCCGAGCGAATTTGTGAAGCGCGATGGCCAATATCCAGAACCAAACGAAATGACCATAGATAAACTCACATCAGTAGTGAACCTGAGATTATACTTCTTTTTTCTTTCCAAGTAATGAAATCTCCCTCATGTCTCTAGGGTGTTTTCCTTGAAAGAAAGGAGACATTAGTCTCATGTTATACGTCGTCCAAACACGGAATAGGATTCTCGAATGAAGATTCCACCCATACTTTAGCTCTTTACTACCGTATCACCGGCATTGGATTCCAATGTTTACTCTTTCAAACTTGTTTTCGTCTCCCTGATATGATGTGATTAGGAAACGGTGCTTACTCCCTATTCTTCTTTCGGCGTATGCTTCAATGGGCTGAGAGACGCTCGAGTAATTCGCAACTGACTCACGGTAAGGGAAGTTCTGGGGCTAAAACTCTTACTGGGACATCCCCGTGCCCCATTGTGCTCGAATTTACAACTTCTAGTGATTCACGTATTGTAGGAGCGTGTACTCGACCTCGAATCTCCTCGGAAGTTAGCGTGACCACCAGATAATTCCTCTCCACTGTGCGTAGTGGAAAGTCTTATGGAATATTTAAAGCAGATGCTAAATGTGGCTGTTCCCAAAAACTAAAAAGTGGAACCTCGATTCTGCTGCAGTTTGTTAATGTTCAATTTAATCAAGCGCCACGTTATGTAAGTAATATAGAAATGTGAGAAGTATCTTTCCGGAGCTCTCTCTAAGGTATATCCCACATATATGTAATTGCAGCAGTCCAAAGAGAAAAGACAAATGAAATGAAACAATTATTATCTGCCATTCTGGCACTTTATCATACTCTACGTACTATTTTGCTTAGATTGAGGGGAAGCCAAAAAAGAGCTTGTAAAACTAACCTAGAAAAAAATCTTCAGGTGAAAAGGATGAATCTTTGAGAACTTGCACATTCACTGAAGTGTACGATTTGTTTTCACGAGTCTATCAAAATATCGAATTTCAGTTCACAGTTAGCTCTATGCGCCAACTTTCTTTACTCGACGTTCTTCAAATGGGCTTCGGACGAGTTGTGCTATCCGTTCTTCTTCTCCTACTATATGACGAAAACAATGCATGTCTCAGTGACGCTCTCTGTACTTGTACATATGGCAGGGGTACGTGTCTACTCATCGATGTTGTAAAATCATCTCAATGCTAGTCTATTTCTTGAAAGTGTAGGTGAACATGAAGGTGTCTCCTATCAGGAAAAAGCTCCGAAACAAACTCTAATCGTTTGAGTCGATCTTTTCTTTTTCTCCTGGGAACTCAGCACCATTCCTCTTCTTGTGTATAGATGAAAAAGCGCTATATTCGACACCGCGATTCCGAACGGTGTCCTCAGTCTCGCGTGGTCAAACTTCTTTACGGAAGCTCTGATCGAAGGGGATGCTCAGCTTTATGCCCATCATTTGAGGGCAATCCGCTGGTCTGATTTGGCCCGTGACAGGGGCAAATGTAGACGTCACTAGTGCCCGCTTCAGCAAAGGCATGATCGACGGTATAGTAGAAGGTTAGCGATTGGATTCTAGCACTATCCGCCTAGCTTGCCGTGTGCGCGACCATTTGATTTCGCCCGCGACGACCGATGCGACGACTGAATCTCGTTCTACATTTGCAGAACCAATAGTGTTTGTATTAGCCAATTAGACGCTCATAGCTGGTAAATTAGCATTAGAGATTGATTTGTTTCAACACAGAGCAGTGCCTTCATAGAAACCAGCTGAGTGCTCCAGTTGCGATCCTTAAAGTGGACAGTTGTGATGGAAGAAGACGTGATAAGTTACTTTCCAGGTGTTCCACGTCGTAGCTTTATCAATCATTCGATATTTTTCATTATCTGCCTTGGCAAATATTCACTCTTCACAACAATGGTTCACTTTTCAGGTAAATCTTTCATAACTCACTACTTTCTGAATAGTTCTTTGTTTTTTTTTGCAAACAAAAGCACCAACAAAAGCAAGCAATTCACAGGAATTGCTGTTATTTGTGTGAGGTCTCTGTTATGAGAACCTTGGGTAGTAATTGCCTTTGCTCATCTCCATTTCCCATCTAGGAAGCAAGGCCTGCAGTATTTTTGCAACGAAATGATAGGTAGCTGTATGAATTCATGGTTGACTCACTGAGGTTTTAGGGGGTAGTCATTGACTAATTTGGGATTTCACGCCGGCCTACTTATGCTCTGATTTGGAGAGAAGTTCCCATATACTCAGTTTTGACGGGAAAAGGGCATCCGCTGCTCTGGCTCATACAGCATACCCAGGTGGGGAGGCGGAGGTGGTGTAGTGGCAGGTAGCCCACTCCCCACACGCGTAGTGCTTCGAATCCCGGACCGAGGCCTACCAAGCCTGCATCTCTTCAGTGTCGGTTAATTGGTACTTTGTCTGGGACGGTAAAAGGTAGGTCCCAGTCTGCCTGAAATTCATCCTTGAAAGTTACCATAGTTGGTGGTTCCATCCTTCGCGGCTCAGCGGGTTTTTTCTTAAGTTGTTNCGCCGGCCTACTTATGCTCTGATTTGGAGAGAAGTTCCCATATACTCAGTTTTGACGGGAAAAGGGCATCCGCTGCTCTGGCCTATACAGCATACCCAGGTGGGGAGGCGGAGGTGGTGTAGTGGCAGGTAGCCCACTCCCCACACGCGTAGTGCTTCGAAGCCCGGACCGCCTAGGCCTACCAATCCTTCATTTTTCAGTGTCGGTTAATTGGTACTTTGTCTGGGAGGGTAAAAGGTAGGTCCCAGTTTTGCCTGAAACTCATTCTTGAAAGTTACCTTAGTTGGTGGTTCCATCCTTCGCGGCTCAGCGGGTTTTTTCTTAAGATGTTCTGGAACCTATCTGCTTGTCATTACTCTGTGCATGGGAAAGCGGGGGCGGACACACTGGAATCATCATTGGCCATAGGTTTCTAAAAGTCCCATCTATCCATCTTTCGGTATTTGGGAAGCATCAATCTTGCGAGAGCTATATATGTAGATACATACTGCTCCGATGTGATGAATTGTTCAGTTTCTTTTCGAATAGTGACTGACTTTGTATCAAAATTTCAATCTGTCCACTCGGCTGGCACGATTCATCGGCCCTTCCCTCTCAATCATCTAGCTGACATAACCTCAAAAATTCTTACGACTCGTGAAAATTTTTAAAATTATAGTTTAATTCCTGTGAGAACGCAGGTATTCTGAAAATAACTTTTCTCATAAGTTTCTATTTCTTTGTTTCTGCTAAAATTGTGGACTGTACAGTTTACGGACGATGTGATATGCTCTAAATTCCTTTTATAGAAATTTCGAATATCGCTGACGATCATATTCGTTAGTGTCGCTATCATTGGCATTCCTCTTCATTTCACATCGGAAGTGGTGATGGTGAGTGACTTGCTGAGCTTCCTTCAAGCATTTCGCATTGTATTCGCGATTAGGTTGACCTTTTCATATGAAATAGTGCTCATCAGCAGTGGACACCACGAGACGCTTTAGTAAACTAGCATGATTTCCGAACTTGTTTATAGTTTCCAAAGCTCCGCTTTTTCAACTTGCGAGAGCACCTTTATCAGGGTATCGGAAGGAGAATGCTCAGGTACACCAAGTCGTCAGATGTGACGAGAGAATCTTCTAGTGGGCTCTCTTACGGGCTATGTGAAATGCTGTGGAAGAATGTGTTCGTCGTATAGTAACACTATTTGTTAAGGTGGAGGAGAATGAAGGCTGCGCCAGGCGACACCCTGCGTTGCGGAATGCCACCGCCTTTCAACTACAGTTTTCTTCATTTCCGCACCTTCAAACGCTGAATTTCTGGCTGTTCAATCTATGTTCGAAGATAATACCATCGGTATTACTAATTTATCGTTCTCCTTCCATTTCCCCTCGAGCGACATATTTGTGAGAAGCATTCTTTAGGTGATTTTGTGTTTGATGACCTTCATGATTCTCGCTAAGCTGAAGAAGATTCAGCAATTAAGCTCACGATTCACAAGCGTCGAACGCGACAAACAGTACCAACGAACGACAAACATGATTCTGGTGAGAGTGCACAAATTGCTTCTCTTCCAAAACCTGAGATAAAAACAGAGCTTAACAGTTTCTGTGGGGTCATGGCACTAACGCGTACGCCACGATAAGGAACGCATATGAAGGAGTTATGAATTCTCAATCTGAGCTCCACCCCTCAGTGGCTACTTTTAGACGATGTAGTTAGGGCTATGGGTTCATAACGAAAAAAAAGCTCTTAGTTCGAGAGGATGAGGCCTACCGCGGATGAGTCTCCTTTGTCTGATTTGACGCCCCTTTTCTTAACTTTGCCCATTTTTGTCAAATTTCTTTTTTAAGGCAAAATTTCGGAATTTTGCTCATTGCATCGCCCGTTCCAGTGTATGTTTCGCCGCTTGTGAGCAATGATCCCCTGGGCTCATACGCGCTCTGTTGATGTTACCCGCGCCTGGTCTTCCCAAACTCGACCCGACCTCTTCACGTCCTTCGAGTGACACCGAATTTTGATAACAGACCTGCAAAAAAGCGGAAGCGACTTCCTAATATAGGTGAACGATTTCGAGACGCTTAAATGTCCTTGACTTCTTGAAATTTAGACATTAGCGTCGCCTCCCCTGAAGGTTTGGCCATCCTTCTTTCAGCAGCCTTTATGCACTTCTTGTCCGACTTTGTAGAATGATTTCAGGCAGAGTCATGGGCGTTTGAACATATGTTCGCCCTCCTTTTCCTGAGTTCACACCTCATCAACTAATAGAATTCAACCAATCTTCCTCAGCAACCTTCAACCATTTTACAGCATTCTCGCTCGTTTCAATAAAGTTATGTACTTCTGATCTCCTACTTTCGAAGTTCGACCGTACTTCTTTTTTTACCGTGCCTCCTACAACTTTCTTAGGCATCCCAGAACGTTTTTGAGCACGGTTAGACATTTTTTCAGCAGAGCTTGAGCTGGAATGCACGTCCCTCCAATAAAAGGGGAGCTTTGCTAACTTCACGACTGCTTGGCACATATTAGACCTTGCTCGTTCATTTTAGTTTTTCTGGTTCTCCTTTTCTTTTCCAGATTCTTCTCTATTTTTCTTTTCTTTTTGTTGACAAATCCAGCAGTTTTGATCATTTTTTGATGCTGTGATTTTTTGATGTTTTTATCAGCTGCTATGAAACCAAATCAAGAAGCTTTGCCCAAAGCACTGCTCACTAGCGCCACTCATGCACGTGTACCGCACTTCTCTCAATAAGACAAACCTTTGTGCACAGTACCCGGAACTTTCTGAACTTACCAGGCATAGGGTGGCTAATATGAATATGAGTGCCTGGAAAGAAATGGACGATGCCTGCCCTCATTTATCAGCGGAGTGCCATGTTGTTATGTTTTCTTGGTCGGCCATAAGAAAATCTGGAAAAGGACCAATCGAAATTTGCCATAAGGGAAAGCCTGCTCTGGAGAATTTTCTGAGATCACTAAACTTGTTTTCCAAATGGGAGAAAGGAATCATAGATAAATTCCAGCAGAGAAACAACTACTGTTTTGCGAAAGGGGGTTTTCGAAGCAAAAGGAGGAGATAGTAAGGCCACAGACCCAAAACGGGACAGTAGCAACCGAGCATTTAAAATTCCGAGAGCTATTCTTTGGCTCTTTGTTATTTGAACCTAACCAGCCGGATCAGCCTGCTCATGCCGGGCTTTCGTCTGTCTACTGTTGAAGTTATAAGGGCCCTCAAATCCGGCTTAGCTAGCGTACACACCCAAGCCAGGCGTGAAAAGCTGTAGAAGTTGCACCATTCGCATCTGGAGGCACACCTTGCACGCGGGTAGCTTACTGCACCAGCTGCGTGCAATGGCACGCGAGTTCGAAAAGCTCGTCCGAATACCACTTCGACACAGCTTTCTTCGTAACATTCTCGTCCAACCCCTAATTTTACTTCATTTTTGGAGCCTTTTGTTTTTTTTTTGAATTTCGCCGATTTTCGCGATTTCTCCGCTACTTTCTCCAGTCTGTAACTAGATAACGGAAAATTATCGTGAACTGCCCTTGAAAAAAACTAAAGATATTGTTTTCTTTCCAAACACACATACACCAACTGATGCGAGGGGGTCAAAAGGAGCTCCCACATGGGTTGCCCATACAACCCGACACTCCGATATTCAGGTATAATATAAAATATTAGCGTGAGCATTTTGGCAACGTCCCAAACATTCAGTCATGCGCAAAAAGATGTAGAAAACAACTACTACTCCGGCATATACATTCACTTGCTCACAAATCGCTTTAGCAACGGTGGGGGGATGATAATACCCATTTCCCACTGCTGAAATGCCCACGACGATTTACCGAAAATTCAGCAGAACGCTGATCGACGTGGGAGAATTTTGCTAACTTTCCGAGAGTGGCATTAACCTTAAGTCGCAATGGGTGGCAAGAGACAAGAAGGGCCTTAGAGTACCTGTAGCCTTAAAAGCAACACCAACAGTTGTTGTTCCCAGTAAGCAGTATAGTATTCGAATTCTGAGCTTTACAGCTTCGATCGATTCGTTCAAGTATGATAAGCTGTCTAGCGATGAACATCCGCAGTGGTTCCACCGATTCCTAAAGTAGGGGGTCTTGTTCTAAATGGATTGTTTAAATATTCGTTTCAGATCATCATGTTCATATTCATCATCGTTGAACTTCCTCAAGGATTACTTGCCGTTGCCGCTACCGTGACGGAGTTGCAATTAATCGTCGCATTAGGTGAGATATACGCCTCAATCCTTTGTACTCGGAAAAAATCCATGCATATGGAAGTTTAATTATCAATCAGGAAGTTTTCAGTAACCAAGTGGGTAACTACTGAATTTGTTACTTTCTTGATTTAGGAGAAATTGTTCCGCACTGATAACGGAAAGGGAGCATCAGGCATTCATTCGAAAATCATCAAAAATGTTGCTATGATTCGTGATATGCGCTCATGACACGGGGTAATTAAGAGACATGACACGAAAGTTTTCCGCCATGGGCACAAACATTTTGGAATGGTCGTGTTTGAGTACTCCAAATAGAGAGGGAGTGGGAGAATGAGTGTGAGAATCACATGAACATTGGGCACTGAATTTTAAAATGAAAGCGCACCGTTACCCTTATCCTTTTGAATCGTACTAGGGGTGTAGCAGGAGTTTCAAAGGTTTAAGTTAAAAAGAATTCGTTGAATTGGTTGAGTTCGATTCTCACTGCCACCACTGGCTCTGTGACTGCTTCAATGACGTGGTATGATTGTGGGGCCATAGAAGTATTATAAAAGTCAAGATACTCTCATCATGTACAGATGTGGACCAAACCGACTTCATCCAACCACAATAAATATGTCATGCCATTTCATTCTTCAGTGCTTCTCGTGATTGTAGGCGATTTCAATGAGATGATCACTCTGCTGACATCCTGCGTAATCTTTGCACTATTCTGCTTGATGAACGGTAAAATACGTTCAGCCTTCAAAGAAGCGCCATGCTTCCGATGGTTAGAGAGATGGACAAAAAATGCTATGAAGTACAGGTACTGTATCGCTTGTCGCTTGTCTCTAGCAGGACTTCCCGAGCGATCGTTTCTCTTTAGAATGGGTCGAACGGTTGCACGTGACAAACTGCTCGACTATTCAATCACAGCTGAGAAGACGGTCGACACATCAAACAACTATGCAGTTTTGTGATGGTTGCTATTGATTGCTATTGATTTATTGGTTCACCAATCGGGTCTACATAATTTATTATTGCATCCAAGCTCATATTCATTACGGTTTGTTGAGGCTATAAAGATTACTCGAACTCGTTTTTTCAACCACTCACACACAACCATGTTAGCATCAAGGGATAAGAAACAAACAGCATCGGTTGCGCGAACACTACGTCACTGGGGTGTGGTGCGTTGCGGTGAGAGGGGCGTCGCGCGCGAAGGAATGTAACAGGATGCAGCAGTAGGTAAGAAATACAAGAACAAAAGTACTAATAGTAGAATTATGCATAAAATAATGATCTCATATCGATTGAGCTGTACGTAGAACGCCAGATCGTTATAACGAGGCAAATAGTCCGCGACAGCCGCGTGCGGCGGATGGATTACTCAAAATCGTTCCTAACGCCGGTCTCCCACTTCACTGTACAGCTCTTCAAAAATACAGTGGTGAATGAGGAAAACCACTTGGTTTGATACGATTTATCACTTGCAAAAACCACATGTCTTGGGACAGATCTNCGACGATTTACCGAAAATTCAGCAGAACGCTGATCGACGTGGGAGAATTTTGCTAACTTTCCGAGAGTGGCATTAACCTTGAGTCGCAATGAATGGCAAGAGACAAGAAGGGCTTTAAAGTACCTGTAGCCTAAAAAGCAACACCAACAGTTGTTGTTCCCAGTAAGCAGTNATCAAACAACTATGCAGTTTTGTGATGGTTGCTATTGATTGCTATTGATTTATTGGTTCACCAATCGGGTCTACATAATTTATTATTGCATCCAAGCTCATATTCATTACGGTTTGTTGAGGCTATAAAGATTACTCGAACTCGTTTTTTCAACCACTCACACACAACCATGTTAGCATCAAGGGATAAGAAACAAACAGCATCGGTTGCGCGAACACTACGTCACTGGGGTGTGGTGCGTTGCGGTGAGAGGGGCGTCGCGCGCGAAGGAATGTAACAGGATGCAGCAGTAGGTAAGAAATACAAGAACAAAAGTACTAATAGTAGAATTATGCATAAAATAATGATCTCATATCGATTGAGCTGTACGTAGAACGCCAGATCGTTATAACGAGGCAAATAGTCCGCGACAGCCGCGTGCGGCGGATGGATTACTCAAAATCGTTCCTAACGCCGGTCTCCCACTTCACTGTACAGCTCTTCAAAAATACAGTGGTGAATGAGGAAAACCACTTGGTTTGATACGATTTATCACTTGCAAAAACCACATGTCTTGGGACAGATCTGATTGACCTCATTTTTTCATGCCGGGTCTTGGCAAAGACCGGTTGTCTTCACAGTTAGGCAGTTACGTTGTGGATGATCTACGCATAACTTGAATCCTTCGTGTTGCTTACTGAAAAAACTGTAGAACATTCGGTGCACAATGAATGACTGCACCCTCAACTTACCTTCAAGTGCTCCCTCCCCCTTAATCTGTTGAACAGGGGCTTGATATGTGACTCGATTCCACCAGCCATAATCTCATGGAAAGTGAGCATCAGAGATAGACGAATGAAGTAGTAGAACCACATTGTTGGATATTGCCTGTTTGTCCATGATCATTTCGAGAGGGGTACTATGATTGAAGTGTATCGAAGGGTATAGGTAAACATCTTCGGATACTGATTTATACAAAACCATCCATTTCGGGGAAGTCGATTCATGCTAGTCACAAAGCAGAATTTTCTGGTAATAAGAGGAGCCAACACTCACGCTTGCAGGAAAGATCCTGGACAGGCCTTTACAAAATGTTGCTTTCAAGCATAATCGCTTTGTTGCGCAGCCTCAGAATCATCTAATCAAAGCTTCCACTTTTTTTAGAAGAGATTTAGGCTGTTTGAGAGGTTTGAGAAAGCAAAACGATCAAGCTGACACTGCAAAAAGCCATCTATGTCGTTGACCTACGAGCTCACTCTCTCACGTCAGCGGTAGCATTGACTTTGGAATTTACTAGGCTTTCTGTTTATTTATTTGTTTATTTATTTATT